TAGATCTGACCAACAACTGCCTATCCAATACATACTTCACCTACAACGGACAAAAATACAAACAAATAGAAGGAGCACCCATGGGATCACCCCTCTCATCTGTCATCGCAAACCTGTATATGGAACACTTTGAAACACAAGCTCTAGAAAAATATGATCACAAACCCAAACTCTGGCTCAGATACGTAGATGACACCTTCATAATCTGGCCACAAGGGAAAGAAAAACTGAACAACTTCCTCGCACACCTCAACAGCCTACACCCAAAAATAAAATTCACCATGGAAACAGAAGCTTACAATCAACTTCCCTTCCTAGATGTCTTAGTATACAAAAAATCCAATGGCTCCCTAGGACACACCATCTACCAAAAGAAAACACATACAAACCGCTATCTACACGCACTCTCACACCACCACCCAGCACAGATCAATTCCGTAGCTAAGACACTCATCTCCAGAACAAAATGCTTAGCCGATGTACAACACCTAAAAACTGAACTACACACTCTCACTAACGTACTAACAGCCAATGGATTCCAAAGAAAGAAGATTACCCACCTAATCCAAAAAGAAACCCCAACCAAAATCCAAGACAGAGAACAAGAGAACAGCAAAGTCCTCCTCCCATATATAAAAGGCACTACGGACAAAATCAGTAAGATCCTCCAAAAACACAACATTAAAACAGCATTCTGCACAAAAGAGAAAAATATCCACCATCCTAAGAAACCCTAAAGACAAAAATTGAGTTAGAAAACCAAGCAGTATACGAAATCCCTTGCACCGCCTGTCCCACTACATACATCGGACAAGCTAACAGAAGAATAAGTGCACGCATTGAAGAACACAAGAACTCAATCAAAAAAGAAGAACCGACCTCTTCTCTAGTCCAACACCTCAAAAGCCACAGGACATGAGATTGACTTTAAAAATACCAGAACTATCGCCAAAACCGAACACTTCAACAACAGAATAATCAGAGAAGCCATAGAGATAGAAAAACACCCACACAGCATGAATAAACGAGATGATACCTCTCGCCTACCAGCCATTTGGAAACCTGCCCTCATTAACAAACAAGTACCTAACATGAAGAATGACACGAGGGCCACACAAGTTGCTACCACCACACTTCCACATAGAAAGCAGACTCACACCCACACAGATGATGAGACACGACCACGGACCAGAAGCCATACTGCAGCTACATCACTACCCGCTTCAAACCCCTCCGACCCATACATGAAGCGAACTGACGCCCACCATGAAGATGTGGCATGACCAGGAATGCGAAGCCAAACAACAGGATCACAGCTCACCAGCTCAAATCCCCCAGCAACTGAGACTAACCTGAGCACAACCAAGGCCCCACCTGAACAGAACACCCCCGCAACCAATCACAACACAGTCAAGCCCCCACCCAATCAAGTCACACCCCCACTAGCAGTTAAAAGGAAGAAGCAGCTGTAAGCTCACATTACTCCAAGAAGCACAAAGCCAAAGACACAAGCCTGAAGATGATGAATGAGACTTCATCGAAACGTCGCCTAGATACTTCCAATTTTACGCAGGAGAAAACCCAAATAACCAAAGATCCACATACAAATACCTGCGAAAACCTCAGAAAACGTATGTATGTATGTATGTATGTATGTATGTATGTATGTATGTATGTTATTCAGCTTTGTTCGGGTATTTTCCCATGTCATTATAGTTGTGCTTTTAAAGTTGTAGCAATGTTTTGGCAGAATCTCATCTGCCATCATCAGGCTTCTGTACTGAGTTCGTCTACAGAAGCCTGATGATGGCAGATGAGATTCTGCCGAAACGTTGCTACAACTTTAAAAGCACAACTATAATAACGTGGGAAAATACCCGAACAAAGCTGAATACCATACAGCGAAAACTTAAGAAAACATATATATACCCGAACAAAGCTGAATACCATACATACATACATACCTACCTATGTACGTACGTACGTTATGTTATGTATGTCATTCAGCTTTGTTCGGGTATTTTCCCATGTCATTATAGTTGTGCTTTTAAAGTTGTAGCAATGTTTTGGCAGAATCTCATCTGCCATCATCAGGCTTCTGTACTGAGTTCGTCTACAGAAGCCTGATGATGGCAGATGAGATTCTGCCGAAACGTTGCTACAACTTTAAAAGCACAACTATAATGACGTGGGAAAATACCCAAACAAAGCTGAATACCATACATGTAAGTACCCGCGAAAACTTAAGTATGTATGTATGTATGTATGTATGTATGTATGTATGTTGTAGCAACATTTCGGCAGAATCTTATCTGCCATCATCAGGCTTCTGTATAGTGTTCATCTGTGAGTCAGACTTTTACAGTGGTTTCAGATTTAAATTTGTGGCAGCCTATTGCTGTGCCAGAATGGTTTTTTCTTCATCCTGATTGGTTGGGAGTCTTGGTCTGTGTTTATTGGTCTTGGAGTTTGCTGTGTTCTGCTTGATTGGTGTTTCTAATATCTTCTGTCTGTTTTTTGGCTCTTTTTGTATCTTAATTGGCTGGCAACATTGTGTTACTTTATTGGAGGCCTTTAGTGCAGCTTGGCTCCGGGTAAATGGACGGCTATCAGTTAGGAAGCTAGGTTTTATCTGGGTGCCTGGTTAGGGTGTGTTTGAGCTGGAGGTATCGGGGGGGGTCTGTTTGTGCCCAGGTGTTTGCCTGGCTTGTGGTGTGGAGATTTTTTTGTTTGTGAGTGCAGGCTTCCAAATGATTGACAGTCTGGTGGAATCATCTCTTCTATTCATGCTTTCTGGTCTTTTTTCAATCTCTATGGCTTCTCTGATGATTCTGTGGCCGGGGTTTTCTATAGTGGCCAGGGTTTTGGTGCCATTGAAGTTGATGCTATGACCTGTGGCTTCCATGTGTTGGACTAGTGAGGAAGTGTGTTCCAGCTTTTGACTGCATTTTTGTGTTCATCCAGGCGGGTACTTATTCTTCTATTGGTCTGTCCAATGTATGTGGCAAGGCACGATGCACAGGGGACTTCGTATATGCCTTGGTTTTCCAGGTCAATTTTATCTTTGGGGTTTCTAAGGATGGCTGCTATTTTTCTGTCTGTTTTGAAGGCAGTCTTGATGTGATGTCTGTGTAGTATCTTACTAATTTTGTCTGTAGTACCTCTTATGTAGGCAGGACAGCTGTTCCATAGGTCTGTTCATCTTCTGGGTCTCTATTATGTCTCAGTGTGTTTTTGTGGATCAAGCCGGTGATTTTGCTTTTGTGGTGCATCATGCCCGGCCACATACATTGGACAGACCAATAGAAGAAACAAAAAAATCTCTACACCACAAGCCAGGAAAACACCTGGGAACAAACAGATCCCTCCCTGATACCTAATGATAGCCGTCCATTTACCCGGAGCCAAGCTGCACTAAAGGCCTCCAATAAAGTAACACAATGTTGCCAGCCAATTAAGATACAAAAAGAGCCAAAAAACAGACAGAAGATATTAGAAGCACCAATCAAGCAGAACACAGCAAACTCCAAGACCAATCAACACAGACCAAGACTCCCAACCAATCAGGATGAAGAAAAAACCATTCTGGCACAGCAATAGGCTGCCCCAAATTTAAATCTGAAACCACTGTAAAAGTCTGACTCACAGATGAACACTATACAGAAGCCTGATGATGGCAGATGAGATTCTGCTGAAACTTTGCTACAACTTTAAAAGCACAACTACATGGGAAAATACCCGAACAAAGCTGAATGCCATACATGTAAGTACCCGCGAAAACTTAAGAATATATATATAGTGTCTTAATTATGTCTACATTTTAAATGAAAAATGGTGGGACTCAATAGGACTGCCTCTTCCTACCCCCACTCCAAAAGAACACTCAAAAACAAGTTAATATTTTATCTTTGGTTTAAGGAAAAGGAAGAAGTGAATCAATACTATGAACTCATTAGAACTTCTTAAGTCAGATGTGTTTCTCAAAACTGGTGGGGCACGTTGCACTAAGATTTTTGGACCTCTAACCACTATGTTCCACATTCTTACTTTATTGTCTTATTCTTGTCCACGTAAGATTATGTTAATTTTCATAGGCTTTACAGAATTTCCTTGAAGAAGAATATATAAAATCAGTGGTCCCCAACCTTTCCGGCTTTATGGATTGGTGGCTGGAGGCAAGAATTGATGGTTCAGTGGGTGGCACGCTTTTGTGCATGAGTATGCGAGACTGCAGTTAGCACAAGTGAAGATATGCTCACCCACCACCTCTGCAGCCCAGTTCCAAATGGTGCATGGCCCAGTATCAGGGATTGGGACACCTGTATAAAATAGTGCTTATGGAAATTATGAATAATATGCAGGCCAAGTTTGGCTAATTAGAGTATCCTTTCGTATTCTTAACTAGAATTAGACTTTTTTTTAAAAAAAAAAGGACTTCGAAAATGGTATTATTTTGTATATGAAGTAGAAAGAAATCTGCTATTATTTTCGATAAAAAAAAATCATTTGAATAAATTTTCTAGGAGAAGCACTTTTTAATAGGAGCATAAAAGAGAAAATATTTTAGATGCTAAATGGAAATAGAACCTTTAATAAAATTATTTAGAAAGTTGGTCCCTAAAACTGGAAATTTTAATAGTCTACTTTAAAACATTGAATAACTTATAAGCATGTAGCTTTTTGTGTTATCAATCAAAACAATGCAATTATGAAATTAAAAAAAACTTGAATGAAGTTTGATGGAAATGATAAATATCCTGTCTAATAGATGAAAAACTTTAAAATACTTTTTGTGTGCATAAAATTTGAATAAAACAAGCAGAGGATTGTTTTTGACAGAAAGACCAGCTTAAGAAAATATTCTAACTCTAGAAGAATCTCAAAATAACACCTGACGATTTATACATATAACATTCAAGATCAAAAATGACAGGCTGAAGACAAAATACATTAAATTAAAACTAATTTCATCCTGTGTTCCATAAATACTTGGTACATTGTTTTACTTTAATGCTCAGTTAGTCTTGAAATTCATTTTAAAAGAGACCAGGCATTTTTTCGGCCTTGCTGGCTGCCTCCTTTGAAGGCTTTCATCATCGTGTCCCTGAGAAGTGTCCTTAATGTTGACATTGGATAGCAGCCTGGGAGACCAGAGAGCTACAAATGATTAGGTACGGTCCTCAAGGCTTCTTCTCGAGAGCGGCTCACACACACATTCTGAAAATAAAATAAGAAGAATTAGTGAGCAAGCTTTAAGTGGTTCACAGTCCAGAGAAGTGCATAGGTAACGCTGGCCTGACCAAGAAAATTCTCTTGATAAGTTTATGGAATTAAGACAGTAACCCTGCACTGAGATTGTCCTCTTAGAAAAATGCCCTCTTAAGCAGTAATAAATGAGTAATTTTGGCTTAACTGCATCTGAAGATAAGTTTGCCTTTAGAGATCTTCAGATCTAATAAATTCCTTACATTTCTGAAGATGAACTACTGTTGCAGACCCACATTGTATTCTAGAGATACATGCTCCCAAAGCAGCTACCTTCAGACATGGAATAAAATATGCAGACCATGAAGCATGAGAAAAGATGACAACTTTTGGGGTTTGGAACTTTACCAGAAGTTATAGATACATAAAATCACACATAATATATCAAAAGAGTCAACAGTTTTTATTCTCCTGCAACACTAGAATTGAGGAGCAGGAGAATTTATTAAAATGTCTAGTTCAAGATTATGCACTGAATAATAGCAACTGCCCACTGGTTGACATAGTTAATAATTTTTTTCACAAGCTCCAATTACTGCCAATTCAAGAGATGATGAGTCTTATTCAATATGAACTCCTGGGGACCACATATTGGCTTCATTAGGTATAGCAGAAGACTGTTTTCACCATTAACTAACATGAATTTAAGAACATGCACAGCATAACATTTTCAGTTCTTCAAATAATCCAAACAGACAGCAAAGTTTTTATGTTCAATATACATGCCCAAGCACAGGAGAATCACAGAGTTTATGGGAATCATTCATCTAAATCCACCCACCTCTATTCCTCTTTCAATCAAATCTCTTTTTCTAGGCCACAATCTATGAAGCACTATAACTCCCCATGTTAGCAAATCACACGGCAGTTTTATCAGTAATACTGCCCAAATTTTTCCTTCACTAGAGAAGGCTGGTAATAAATGTTGATTTTCCTGCACATAGGCCCTTTTTTCAGGTAGCATCACCTGACTACATCCTGCCGAACACTGCAGATTGGTTGGTACCTATTAAATGGGTACATGACATATAGTTTGATTTTTATTATATTGCATTAAATACAACCCTGAATCAAGCAAACTATTAAACAGCATAACCTTTTACAGAAACGCCTACTTTCAAACAGGCTTAGAGCAGAGCAGTGATGTGGTGAAAGGTTACAAAATGGGTCTTTCTTTAGTGCCCATGAGACTCTCCCTTGAACCAACTTTTTCATTCAATGACTAACAAATCTTAAACATAAGGTCAAGTATGACATAATATGTCAAAAAGATATTGCTGGGATTTGTATTATGATGCTGTATACAAAAGAGATGCTGCATGCAAAATTTTGGACAGCCACAAGAAGGCAGCAAAGAGATGCCTAAAACACTGTGCTTTTACTGCCATCTTTTGCATCTCAAATACGGCAGACCTAGTGAAAAGCCACAAAGATGAATATGGGCCATGAGAGCCTAAGGGGAGAAGAGACAGGATTCAACAGAGCAAATGTGGAAGTCATGGGAACATGCAATTCTACATTCTGATCATGACTTCCCTGAACATTTGCAAAATCCACTGCAGCAGGATCAAGAGCCGGAGCTGAAAGATGCAGAACCATAACACGGCTGAGAAAGGAGCAATAGTTACTAATGCTGTTGTGTAGACTAGCATTTGGAACCAAGCCTATGCTCTTCAGCTGGTTTAGAAAAAGCATTGAAGTCTAGGAAGTGAGACAGGCAGTTGGAGATGGGCCAACAACATTTTAAAAATACTGCCCACTTAATAGGAAAACAACTTTTTAGATACATTAAAATCAATTAGAATTAGAATTCCTAATGACAGAATTACATTGGTCAATGACATTGGAATAAACACACTATCACCTGAAAAATATCCAGCTATCTTCTCATTGATTCTATTGTACTTATTACAACTATTGGATGTATTGTAACTATTAATAACTTAGGTGTTCAAAGTACTGAACTGAGCTTTACTGGACATAATACATCAAATTAAAAATCAGCAATAATTAAGTTATGTTGCAAAAGGAACTAATCGCATTTCAGCAGAAGTGAACAATAACTTATTAATGTTTCAACAATTCAAACAGTCTAAAACAATTTGATCTCCAAGTCATGCAATACACAAAAACTGTTATATTGGCATTTGATTCCAAAATGATCGGAATGATTGAAAATTAATAAAAGTATGATAAAAAACAGCACCACATCTTTCATAGCTGATCAGGAAACAGGATTCACAGGTGAGCAGGGACAGTTACAAGGGCATCCTCAGGAGGTCTGACAATGTCTACATTCTGTATAATAATAAAAATACAGTAAATATTTATCGTGCAGGACTGCCAATCAGTGTTTCCACAAGTAATCTCCTGAATTTAAATCAATGGATGATTGCAATTCACCAAGAAAAATTTGTGCCTGCTTTTCTTATAAACATAGACTATTGATTTACAGAACAACAATAATTCTGCAGTTCCAGCTTAGCGCCGGCAACCTTCCTCCCATGCACGGAAAGATTACAATTTAAAAATACTTCAATTTCTTTCATATAGTTGTATCTAAATTCCTGCAAATCTTGTTCTCTTACATTGTCCAGGTTAGTGGGGGCAGTTGGTGGCAACAAGGCTTAGCAACTTAGATCACTATTCTGGAGGAACAACCTCTTTTTCCACCCATCTTTAATATGTTGCTATTAAATTGGCAAACTTTGTCCTACAAGGTCATCCCTTTCCTAGCAGTGCTGTCATTTATCTGGCCAATGGCTTGTCGTGTGCAAGTCTGGGGTCTCTGCAGTACAGAACTATGTTACTAGTTGTTACTTCTGCTCACTAAATCACAATGACCTTATGGGCTACCTGTCTGTATACAGAAAGCCATGCAGTATTACAGGGTCATTTAGTCATGGCTTCCTTTGGCCCCAGGAAGTCCCCAGATTAAGAATGAGTTCAGTTCCTAATTCTTGTCTTGAATTTGTAATTCACATTTTAACTCATACTTACACCAAGACTGCCTGTTACTAAAAACAGTGGATGGTGTTCTTTTTTTCTCAAGCTGTCAAACTGCTGAAAACAGGCCCTACATTAAAAATGTGCAGCTTCAGTGGTTCATTGACTGAAGGAAGGAGAACTCTGCCCACCATTTTTAGTCAAAGTACAAGTTGCTTATAAATGAAACATTCTTAACCCAAGGACTGCCTGCATTAGTCTGTTACTTTAGCATTATCGTCTCTCATTCTACTAATATCACTGACTTTTTTAGACTGAAGTTATGCCAAACTTAAAACCTAGGCAAGTACATCTCCAACAGGGAACTCCTACCTCCAAGCCCTTGATTATATATGCAACATGAATCACCTCATCCATCATTAAATCATCAATGAGAACAGATTTTATATAGACCAACTTGGCATTCAAAACAGTCAGAGCCCAAGGCATGAGGACACACAATAACCTGCTTTATGGGTTGAGTACTGGGTTCTGGTCAAGTTCCCAAGTAGCAACCCCAGCAGTCCCTCAGATTCTAACCATACCTATCCCTGTCACAATCTTGATGTTTCTGCTTTCTACCCCCAGTCCCTGCTTCCCTAGTTCTCCTTTCAAAGGCACCCATACGTATCCAGACAGCCACCAACCACCCCAGCCCTCATAGCAAACATCAGACAACCCTCCCTTTCCCCAGGCTGTTCCTATCTTCAAGCTCTTAGAGTTAGAATGGCACATAGTTTCTGTGAAAAGCTCTCTGTATATTTCAGATCACATACATACTCCCTTCCTGTCCAGGTAGGTAGTAAGATGACAAATAGCTCTCCAATTAATAGAAAACCCAGGCTGAGTCCAGAAGAAAGGTCCAACAGGCAAGTGCTCAGAGCACAGTGAAGAGAATGATAAAGCAGAACTCAGTGCTGCCTCCACCACCCTGGCTCCTTCCGGGCTTCAAAGCACACCCTTAAATCTCTCCCTGACAGGCCAAAAGGTCCCCAGAGCTGCTGAAAATTATCTTGATCACAGACCGGATAAGGATCAATAATATGAATCACGGTGATATACATGTGAATAGTTCCTTGGTCCTATAGAGATGCAGGAATGGGCACAACCAGCACACCATTCAGAGATGTACCTAAGCTCTCCTAGCCACAGCTGCCACCTGCTCTTCAAGCCAGAATCTGGGAGTCTAGGAGCACTCCCAGATTATGCACCAGGTCTGCCTGAGGTAGTGTTATCCCATCCAGAATTAGAGATGGAACAACCTTGTCTCAAGAAGTTCCAAATACCCATAGCCTTCTTGCAATGGTTGAATCAGAGCCTGTTTTGCTTCATCCAGACCTGGACAGCCTACAGACACTGGGATAGGATGTCCATAGCATCAGTCAAGGGGTCTAGAGTGGAAGATATAAAGCTGGGTGTTATCTGTATATTGATGATATCTCACTTCAAACTGGTGGATCACCTCACCCATGTAGATGTTAAAAAGGAGAGAAGAGAAACCAAGCCCTGAGGCACCTCAAAAAGTAGGGGCTGCAACCTGATTCTCTCCCCGCCTATCAACACCAACTGAAACTGACCCTGGAGTAAGGAGAACCAGCACAACACAGTGCCACTCACCCCAACTCTCAAGCCAGCATGACTGATCATATTAAATGTCGTCAAGAGGTCAAGAAGAGTCAGGATCGATGCATTACTTCCATCTCACTTCTGCCAGAGGTCATCCATGAGCACAATCAATGCCATCTCAGTCCCAAACTCTGGCCTGAATCTTGACTGAAAGGCATCTAGATAATTCGCTTGATCCAAGGTCCTCTGCAGATGCCCTGCACCCACTCTCCCCACCGCCTTCCCTTAGAAGGGAAGGTTGGAAACCAGCTTGGACAGGGATGGTCCTTTGAGAAGGGAGTGCACCACTGCCTCTTTAAGAGCTGGTGAGACCACTCCCTCTTTCAAGGAGGAGTTAACTACCACCTATCCTTTCCCATGCAACTTGCAACTCTATTACTGATCCTGAAAAAAATCACTTACAAATTTCCTTTACAAACAACTGTTTTAACTGACTGAAACAGCTAAACTAACTTTCAATCAACAAGCCATTTGAACCAAAGCAGTTATGATCATCAATGTTCTGCTTCTGAACATTCTTTTTTCTTAAACTTTAAAGCAGTTATGAATTAACACACACGAAAATACATATTGAACACACTATTATGGATACATTTATTTATTCTCATTCTCTACTGTCCTGTTATTAACTTAGCTTGATATACCTGATTCCCACTAAGGCCAATCACGGTCTCCTGTCTTACTGATTGGGTTCATATATCCTATTAAACTATATTTTGATTTAATGAACAAACCACCAGATAACAACCACGAACTAGGGGTACAAACTACAAGTGTTTGCTCACACAGTAACTAAACCAAAATTAAACAAACCATAGTCTGACTATATGGACTAAGTAGTAAATCATAATACTGGTAGCATAGACATACAAATGGCTCAGAATCAAAACCTGAAAAGTAATGCTGCACACAGAAATATTTATATGACATTTTAAATCAGTCAAAATTGTATTTCTGATTTTGTTAGCAGAACCTTTCATCCTCATGTTAGGAAGTATGAGTAAAATAGATGAGACTTTTCATATAAATCCAACAGTCACAAACCGAAGTCAATCACTAAACAATGATGTGTCTATGTGCATGAGAAAGACAGAATAACCATAATTTTGCATTAAAGAAGAGTACCTATGAATTTATGGTTATTCCAGAATTTTAATATTAAAAGTAAACTTCTAAACTAACTGGACACAAAAATATTTGCTGTTGTTCTAGAATGAGCAAGAGATGGCTTTCAAAATCTACAAAGCAATATTTTTTCCCATAATAATATAGTACATTTCACATAAAACATACAGGTACCAGAAACTGAACTACTGCAATGATATTTGACATGACATAGTCAGGGTTGCTATAGTAGAGCACAAGGCAAAGTCTGTTGAAATTAGGACCAGGATAAGATGCTTGCAGAGAAAGTACTAAAGTACCTACAAATCTGAAAACTTTTTTCCTTACATTAAAAGAATGGGATCTCTAATTAAATGGTAATATACAGTATCTGAATACTACAGAGGTGTTGTCTACACTGTATTGAGGGATATAGGCATGTATAGAAGCCCTTCACCCCTGAAATCTTGTATATCTTTAACATTTTCATGAGTTTAATGCAGAATTCTTTTTAAAAATCATCGAAGTACATTAAAGAGAACACACACACTAATCAGATAAATTGTTTTATCAGTGTTCCCAAATATGAAACTCTGGATGGTTGTGAATCCCCACTCCAAGAATCAAAGAAGGTATTAAGCTCAGGTTTTTTTACAATTCCCTCCAGCTACCTTATTTTTTTAAAAGTACATTTAAAAAAAATCAACTTTGGGAAGAAGCAATCTGGAAGATGTAGCCAAGAAAGGGGGCAGTGTGTGCTTAATTCTTCTGTCACTGGCAGGTTTTCTACTTTAATACTTTTTCCAAGCTTCTTGTAAAGTTTTAAATTCATATTCGGTAAGAAGACCTACCAGTGGTTTATCCCTGTGTGTGTTTACAGCATCAACATTTAGGAAAATAGATTCCACTTTGCAACCTGTAGGTGAAATCAACATTTTCATATTTAATATATTTTATTCACTAAAAAAGAACAATATTAACACCATAACAATAACTTCTTCCTTTTATTTCCAATGGACAATGGAATTTGACACAAATAAATACTGGTTAAAATAGTTCTGGTTAAGATTTTTTAACACTTTAGCATCTGTTGAGGTAAGGTTGCTTTATAAAGTTTCTTCCTATGACACTCTGGCATATGAGTGGCAGACATAGTAGTCCTTCCAATGCAACTTCCAGCTTACTCCTAAGAATCATGGATAGCAGTTTTGAGCAGCTGTAGCAACATTCATATTGACAGACATTTGGGAGGGTTGTTAAGTATTATAAAACATTTGATTGTATGTTGAGAGTATGTTGAGTATCTTCCCTAAAATATTGATCAGATTTTCATGCATGCCTTTAAGTCAGGTTGCTGAATTGGAGAAAGAAAATTGGGAGTGGCTTTTTGGATGTAAGAACAAGTTCAATTCTGATACTGAAAATATGTTCTTGTTCTAAGCCATGCGCTGAAATGAGTATGTACTTCAATTTTATTGGGTGGCTTTCTGCCCAGAGATTCCTTGATTGTTAGCTGAGTTTTGTTGCAGATGTTTCATTAACCAAACTAGGTAACATCATCAATGCTAGTGGGGAATGCGGTTTGCTCTCATTTTATATACTAGTGGCTTGCCCTTGGCTTTATTTTTGCACCCTACTCCAGCTGGAGATCTTATCTGCAATAACTGCAGGATTTTGGACACTAGAGGTCACTACAGGCTTCTTATTATTTGAAGTGTAACTAAGTTACAGGAATTCTCTCTATTGTTTTAAAATGTTTTCTTATCCCAAATTTTAATGTCCACACTCCCCTTTCCTCTTCTTTTAACAAGAAGTAATAGTGGTGCTTTTTATTTAGACTAGGTGGCATTTTAAAATTATTTTAATTACAACTTTGTTTTACGCTGGTTGAAATAATATGTCAAAGTAAAAATTAGGTTTAATAAGTAACTTAAGGAGAGTCGGGCCCAGTTAGCATCTGAAAGGCACTCCAACATATTCTATGACAACTGCAAGCTAGATGGAAAAATTGAAAAAAAATATTCCTTCCTATAATTAATAATGTTCTATTCTATCATATTAAAAGTTACATTTCAGCTACAACTCTTAGACTCTGGAAGCACCCCAAGGCTTTACCAACGCTGTCAACAATTAGGTTTTTTTGGATTCTACCCAGAGGTGGTATTCAGCAGGTTCTGACCAGTTCTGGAGAACCGGTAGCAGAAATTTTGAGTAGTTCGGAGAACCGGCAAATACTACCTCTGACTGGAGATTTTACAGTATCCTTCCTGTGCCACGCCCACCAAGTCACGCCCACAGAACCGGTAGTAAAAAAAAATTAATCCCACCTTTTGAAACAAGAAGGCATGGAATACACACAACAGACAAATGCACAGGCATACTAAAATCAAAGTATCTACAAGAATGCTAAAAATATTTGTAAAGAAAAATCAACACTAATTATGTGAAGCATTTTGAGTGGTCATACTTCTGAAGATATTCACACCACACCACTGTGTGGCAGGACCTAATTATTCAAATTCCCAGCGTTACCTCAAGAAGAATAGAAACAATGTCTATTTTAAACCTTTTAGTTTAATGATGAACTGAACAGTTTAATGGAAACGGTAACTAAGTACAAGTAATTTGTTTTGACATACAAGCTTACAATTAGGAACTAATAGCCTACCCCTTATAGATGTAACCTAATAAAATGTTTTTCATAATAAAGTTGATTTAACTTGCTTAGCTTAAATTTGAATATCTTACCATAAGCCACTGGAGTTAGCTTTAAGACAGTATGCAGAGGGCACTTGAGATAAGGCAATTGTTCTGAAATACATAAGTAAAGAAAAATATAATAAAAAAAGAATAACTTCTGACTATTGACTATAAAGTTGGTTCCTAGTTAATATTTGTATCTCACTTCACTAAATAAATTTTCAGAACAGCTTCCATTTGTAGAAACCAGAGCACATAAGCAATGCTACCAACAGACACAGATAAGATTCTAAGACTTAGCCAGACAAAACAAAAGAATAAAAAAATGGTAAATTGAAATCACTAAACAAATAAAAATATTTTAACCTACCTACAAATAGTGGTTCTCAACCTTTTCGTCACCATGGACCCCCTTTAATACCTTTTGTGGCCACAGACCATCACCAAGATTTAAGATTTAAATCATAACATTTCTTCAAGCCTTCACAGACCCCTGTAATGGCTTCGTGTGCAGACCACAGGTTGAGAACTACTAACACAGTGGTATCCTAAATACATACCACTTGTCTGCAATTATCTGGTGTCAAAATAAAAGTTATTGCTGACTAACTTCAGCTTTCTCTTTGGGTATTTGTAAGGTACCTACCTGCAGGCTTATCCAAAAAGTAAGCAAGCAAACAACGCATAACAGCTTGGTGACAGATTACAAGCACGTTTTCCTGCCTTTCCAGCTCCATAATTACTGGCTCTAACCTTTGAACAAGATCTTCATAGGACTGGAAAAACAATAGCAAAAAGAAATCATTTAATATGGATATGTGTATAAATGACCATAATTTTATAATAAAATTAGCTGGAAACCTGCGCTTCGCTATGTAACTATGTGATCAGGTTTAGTTTTGGGGGAGGAAAATAAGGGGGGGAAATTCTGCCTCTGCCTAACAGCATCCATCAGTATTCATCTGGCTAGCATCCTGTCAGTGTGTGAGAGTGTTGAGGGATTTTTGAAAACTGAAGCAGTATTTGCTGTGTGAGCAAGAAGACAGCAAAGAGCCTGGGCGTGGCTTAGCTCAATTGTTTTATTCTAAAGCTGGTTGCTGTTGTGAGACTGAAACTGAAACTCTTCTGCTTGTGTTTTGCATTTGGAACAGATTTCTTTTCAGATGGGGAAGGGGAGTAGAACTCCTTAGCATCAGAGCGTGTTAATAATAATATACAGAATACTAATGCTTTGGTGGTCATTCCAAAAAATCCTTTCTTAGTGAGCACCTTGAAGCCATGAGGAACATATGTGCCAAATTTTGTGGGCTTTACGGTTCAGGGGATTTTGTGATGATGCGTGAGTGGTATTTTGCTTTTACATAGAGAGATTGATTTGCTCTAAAATGGGTTAAATAGTATCACCTGTGTAAGAGTACAAATGCTTTTGAACTTGCATAAGACTGGATGCTTATCTTTTTTTAAACTTACATGCCAAACTGAAATAAAAAAATGCAGATGCTTTTAGGAAACAATTCATTAGAATCAATGTAACTCTTAAAGCAGCTGCATTGTTACTTTGGGCTGCACCTATGCATAATAGAGAGGTTTATGTTCTATCTGGATCTAATTCTACAGAGGTATTTCTTCTTCGTAACCTTTAATCATCATCTTGTGCTTTAAAATCCAAGTGGTAGATTAATGGCAATTACCAACTAATTACTGACTTACATGAAATGATTTCAACATCCATCCTTCCTCTATGCATCCATTCTTTTCTAAGCAATCTGTGCCTGTTTTTCTATATCTGATGCTTTCCATACCACAGAATTTGAATTGCAGAAGATTACAGACTGATTCTGTCACTTGTCTATTTCAATGTTTATACATTAATGTTTATTTTTCCCTATGTAAGAAACTTTGTAAATAGCTGAGTAATTGATACAGTGAGATTTCTCTTGTTTTTATGTAAAAGTAATGAAACGTGATGTTGCTGACAGTTTTCAAAAACAGGAACTCTGCTACAGAAATTAATTTTTAAGAAACTATATCTTTTGTGCACTCAAACATGGAACAAAAGAAGTTTTGGAAAAGTACTGTAAGTAGATCAGCTGATAAAGTGGAAGGCAGCAACCACCTGATGCTTTATCAAAAGATACATTTTTGCTTTGCTAAGGAACACGTGAAAATATACCGTCAATTAAGCCAGCTATAGTCATTAAGAAGATGTACAGCTATTGACTGAAAAACACATATCCTTTCTCTGTACAATCAGCAAACAAGCTCCAAAAATGTTTCCATCTTACATAACATCCATTATAACCTGACCGCCTCTATGCCATCTGTACTCCTGCAGTGTTTTGAACATTATGATCACTCAGCCAACACATGATAAATGGATTTAAGGTATGTTCCGCTTTTAACAAATACTGTTAGCAGCTGCTTTTATTGGTGCTTTTGATTAATGCTTGACTTTTAATAGCAGTCTGTAAAAGGGCAAGCTAACAAGCAATTAACTGAGCCTCAAATATGTGGTTTTAAAATGTGTTGCTCTACTTAGAGAAAGCACATGAAAATGCTGATGCATGTTCTATCAAGGGGCCCTGAGAGTGTGGCTGCAGGACGGCCAGCAACACACTGAACCAAAAGTCTGAAATGGAAACAGATTTATTTCCTCCTTTTCCAAAACAGTTTTAAGAAGCCTTTCAGCCCTGCTTAAAATTTGAACACTGTGTAAGATAGCTTTTTAAGTTACAAACAATAGAGCCCTGTTGCTGTTAATTAACATTTCCTACACAAATGAGAAAATGGCTTCTACTTTAGCAACAACACAAAGAAGTTGCAAAAAAGCTTTCTCATGAGAAAGAGGCAATAAACCCCCTTTATTTCAAAACATTTCTCTTTTGAAACACTTACAAAAAGACTTCTGCATCTCTAAGCTTGCAAAATTTAACAAACCTCGCCCTTAGGATATCTGTATCTGTATTTGTCCTGGTCTCTCAAAGCAAATTCTAAGGGATAATTTTCCTGAATTTCTTCATATGTCATTTCTTCACAGACTCCCTATAGAAACAAAGAAAATAAGAGACTACATGAAGCATGACAAGAAACATGGACTGGGCTCACAAAGATTCTGAACTAAAATGCCACTTTTGTCATGAATTCACTGGAAGGCTATTCTTTCAGCTTCTAATTATATCTTATGTTTTAATGTTTATTGAGACATAACCTATGTAAACTGACTTGGTCAGGCTGTGTCATCCTCATCCTCATTATGAATTCTGAAGTTAAGCTGCACAAATGGAAATTCAATTCATGGAAATATTTATCTGTCTAATCAAATGTATACCTTGAAATAATCTAAACTAAAGTATTAGCAGTTTACAATAAAATTAAAACAAAATATATAATAACAATAAGAAACTAAAAAAAACCCACCACTCCAAATACCTTCTGGTACAAAAATATCTGTCTTTAGCTTCTTGTTGGAGCTAAGCAAACCTTTAGGGTAACAAATGGTTTTACTCCCCCTCACCAAACCTCCACAACACAGTGACTTCCCAGTTTGATCTAATTAATCAAATCTACTTTCTCAGATTATTTTTTCAAATACATCAGAAAAATCAGTAATTATCAGGGGATTTAGTCCTAACGTTTTTCAAAATTCAATTAATTAAATTCTTAATTAATTTATTTCAATTAATTACTGAATTTTAACCCACATTTCTGTCAATTTCAATGAGTTATTGGAAATGATAATTAAAAAAAACTTATGTGACTGTCAGGTTGAAAAGTCATTCTATCTATCTATCAATAAGACATCAGGGCAGAACAACTAGCATTTTATTTTCACACAATGATTAAAACAAACTTTGATTTGCAACTTAACTTTAAAGCATCCATTCAAATTAGGGATAGTTGTCAAAAATAAAAATGGTTTATTGCCTGACATGGGTTTGGAAACAAAGGAAGTAATTCTGTAGCAAGATAGGACAAGTTCCACAAATACTTTCTAAAATTGCTGAAACCAACTAACGTTTACCTTTTTAAAGCATAATATGATAACTAACATTATAGTTTTATGACAAGAGAAGCAGTAAGTGCAGTGCAATCTAATACATTTGAAATAAGCCCTGAAGACTAGGTACAAAACTTCAGGAAGCTGCAGGAGCTCAACATCATCGTAAAAAAACCTCCAAGCATTGATGGTTATATATGTAACAGAAAAGCATCCTACCGCATCAATTTCATTTAAAACTTTCCACTGCTCATAAGGCACTCTCAGAGCCTCAGCAGTCTGAATGGTCCTCTTCATCTGACTTGTCCAGACCTTCAGATCTTTGATGTTCTGATCATTAATGAACTGGCCCAAGCTCTTGGCAAACTGGAAAAGGTCATTAAAAATACATTATAATGTCACAGATACTCAGATTCAATGTCAAAAGATAATAAATCTTGAATGCGATCTTTCAAAAGCTCATGTAGTCCTTCAACAAAGACATTTGACTTGCACTTAAGAATCACAATATTCTTTTACTAAAATGAGAGGGTACTCTAATTTTGATGTAATAAAAAGTTGCAAGAATGTAAGGAACTTCCACTTGTAGAGTATAACCTCCAGAACATTTCTTCGTCAGGCTGAAAGACTTATGTTTTTAAATAGGAAAAATAAATGGAGGCCTGTGATATCTCCATGTTCCTGTATCTGACTGCAGTCTTTCTTGAAATGTTTCACACTGTTTTTAAGAATCTTCTGATATCACTGTTTCTCAATCTCAGCAACTTTTAAGATGTGTAGACTTCAATTTCCAACATTTCCTACCCAGCAATCCATATTGTAAGCCTGAATACCTGGTGATCGCAGCCCCACAAAAGTTGCCATTAACTTGTAATTTTTAACATGTCCCTGGGGGAAAATTAATAAATATGTCATGTATGTTTGTAGTTAATTTAACATTTTATTTAAATTAATCCAATGTAGTTTCTGTTCTGACCCTATTTATTTCTTTGTAATCTGGTTTATCATTCAAAAGCAAAATTCAGAATGTTCCATATCCTTGGCTGTCTGGATCCAAATCTCTCCTTAAATCCCAGAACACAAACAAATGCAAGATAATGCACATTTTTAAAACTACTTAAATTTTAAAATACATTTTAAATGTAATAAAATACAGAGCTACAATAGATAGACCATAAGTACCTCTTTCCCTCTATGGGATAAGCCTGTGTCTCCTCCTATTCTTCCCTTTAGATTTAGTTCACTTTCACCATGTCGACACAGGTAGATGGAACGAGGAGTTACATGGATATTCATGAGGTAGTAAACAATCCGACTCTGAATATGATCCATTACATGGTTTACAAGGTAACTCCTTCCAACATCCATGATTTTAATATAAGAAAGATCCCTGTAACAATAGGACACATAATTAATTATTGCCCTATTTTAGCCTCATGCTTTATTTATCATTATCAGCCACAGAGACCAGGAATAAATTTTATTCACCTTCATTTGAGGAAGGGTGCAGGTAGTCCTCAGATTATGTCAATTTGTTCAGTGACTACTCAAAGTTACAATGGCGCTGAAAAAAATGGACTTACAAACAGTCCTTGAAGTTCTGGCCACCATATCTGCCCCTTCTCCAGTCAAATGATCAAAATATGGGCCAGCCTGAATTTATAACCACTCAGTACTGCCCCGGGCACTTCCCACATTCCCTACTGCCTACCTGTATCACCCACTCTCCTGCCTGCAGCACCAGCCTGTACTGTACAGCACTTATCTGGGGCACTCACCCAGCCCACTTTGTCCCTCAACTGCTAACCTGTTTGCCTGAGATCTTGCCTATTTCCACTTAATGACCTGAGTGGTCCTGGGGTTATGACAGCAACCAGGATTACCATTGCTAACAGATTCAGTCATGTGATGTTGTGTTTCACAGCCCCATCATTTAGTGCCAGCCCTGACTGCCATCAGAACCCGAGGACTACCTGTAGTTCCACAGTCTAACGAAAATAAGTGACAGGAATTTTGTTAATATGCAATGTATTTATTTTATTTACATTCTTTTTACATTATGGTATATTGTTGGAAAGTCCAAAATACTCATGTTAAATTCTGTGATTATTTCACATTAGGTCATTTTTTTAGGCAATCATGAAATTTCACTTTTTCTTTAACCTTTTTCATTTCCCATTTTTCCTCACTCCAGGACAAGCAAGGTGTAAACATCAACAATTGAGTAATAAAATCTGACAGGAATACAAATTCTCACAGTAAAAGACCACAGTGTTCTTTGTTGATTTTACTGACTGATAAGCACACATTCCTGTGCTTTATTTATGAACTGCTTTATCTCACGATTCTATCTTCTAATACTAAAATCATTCTGCTTATTCTCATCACTATCCCCTTTTTTCCCTTTCTTATTAAAAGTATCTATATTATCTCTCACACATTAATTTATATAATTCATCTGAGAGGATGTGTTCCCCTAAAACTTATAGTTAAATGGATTAAACTTTAAGGTACTATATTACTGCTTTTTTAATTAAAACTGAAATGGTCACTTACTTGTCTAGATTTTCATCCAATGTCTCATATGAATTCTTGTAACACTCAATTCTTTTCATAAAGTCCTCTGTAGCTTCATCACTAGCACAGTCAATATAATCAGGACTGCCTAATTTCACTTGCTAAGAAACCACAGAATAAAAAAAAATCTCTAAATATTATAAAAGAAGTCAATTAGTTGTATGATGCTTTCCTAGATTCTGCGTTTTGAGTAGAAAAAAAACTAAATTTAAAAGAGAAACCTAATTTATACTTCAACAATGTAGGGAAAATGTACAAATTATATATCAGTAGATAATGTGGATAGTAAATTGTTATCGTAAGACTGACACTTTCGTTTTCCATTATTTTCATTTCTATAGCCTTAATTTAATATATTATGTCCTATAGTGTATTGTCTACATATCATATGTATAGTGTGTGTGTGTGTGTGTGTATACAAACACACACACACACACACACACATTTGATGACCTTTTATTTAAACTAAATTTGTATATCAGTGATTGCGTGACCTCTGTAGATGCCATACGCTAAATAAAATAAACTTATAGGGTTTGATGATTGAGAAATAATATTCCCATACTTCTCCTAGGCTTGTTCTGCAATTTTATGGTTAAGTTTGTTTTCTGACTTTCTTGAAAGGAAGCAGAGTTCACCGGTAAAAAATGTATTTTGCAAACCAGTTTCTGAAAATTCAATCCCTAGTGAATGCAAGAGTGCTTGGGAAGAAAACCTGGAAAGCTCAGTCAGTTAGGACTAGGTTTGTAGATTACAAACTTTTATAATTAAGTAAAAGGGTGCAATGTAATCTACAGTTTAAAAACAAACCTTAATGGGAAATCAATACAGAAATATGTTATCTGAATGCATGCATGTATATATAACATTTAAAAGTTTTTCTTTACTTGAGTATGGCAGGGAGTGAAGCAGCTAGACCAGATTGAGTGGTTCTGGGAAGTAAACTGAGCACAAACATTTTAACGTAAACGGAAGTTTTGACTCACCACAATATTTGCAGCAATAACCTCAGGATCAACGCATACTGACTCCACAAAAAAAGTCTATAAGCCAAACAGGAAGAACATTGATGTTGGACCCTTACGTAATATTTTTCACTTTTTAAAAAAATGCAAAGCAGGCTTCAACTTATTCAAAAGCAAAACACAGTGCTGTATAATAAAACAAATAGTAGTTCTTGTTTAGTAACCACAACTGGGACCAGCTAGTTAATTGTTAAGTAAAGCAAAGTAGCCACTAAATAAAACCACAACTCTGCTTATGATCTGACCAGCTTTCCATTGCTTAACAGACCCATGGTCATAAATGCAAGGATTGATTTAAAGTTACTTTTTCATCACTGCCATAACTATGAACAATTGCTAAACAAGGCAATCACTAAACGAGGACTACTACCTGTAATAGTTCAAACCTAACCATACAAACTTTTTTCTTATATAATTACTATAATGCAATTGTAGTATGTTAAACATTCCTTTGATCTTTTTCTCAGATAATTCAGATAATATGGCTTTAATGAAGTCCTTTGAAATCTAAGCATTCTGGATTTAGAGTTCATGCCACATAGAAAGGGAATGTCTTTTTCTCTACTACTCTGCTCTTTCTACTCCTGACCCTTGGAGTAATATTAAAATAGTATAAAGGGTATTTTAATTGTCATGTAATAGAAAATATTTTAAAGTAAATTCCATACACTGTACTTTTCTAAAGGAGTAAATCAAAGAAACATGGCTATCTCTCTTCCTTATTCCCTTGCAAAAATATGTGAGAGTTACAATAAACAAGGCAATTAATGGTACATGCAATATTAAAATTGCCAGCATTTCTAATCACAACAGAATCTTCTTTCATATTAACTAGCAGCAGAAACTATTGCTAATCATTACTGTCAACAATAGAATTAAAATTGCAGAATAAATTATAAGTATAATTTACTAGAAAATTGAGGTTTTTTTTTTACAGAACTACTTGCAGCCAATATTTTTCATATGCAGTTATAGTATGTTTCTTTGTAGTCAGTGTAATATTTAGAACAAACATTTTATCCAGGACTAAATAATTTTAGCATCTTTACGCAACTGACCTTAAATCCATTTTCTTCACCAAACTTATATATGGTGTCTCTACGTTCCCTTGTAGTATTTGTAGCATCAAAAACCTACATGAAACAATACAAGAATCAGTGTGTGTGTGTGTGTGTGTGTGTGTGTGGTATTCAGCTTTGTTCGGGTATTTTCCCATGTCATTATAGTTGTGCTTTTAAAGTTGTAGCAACGTTTCGGCAGAATCTCATCTGCCATCATCAGGCTTCTGTATTGTATTCGTCTTCTGTATTGTTTTTGTGGGAAAATACCCGAACAAAGCTGCATACCATACATGCAAGTACCCGCGAAAACTTAAGAAAATATATATATATATCCCCGTAATATTTCATATATCATTAATAAAATGTAATAGCTTCATCATAAATATTTTAGCAACTACTGTATGTTTTTTCATAGTATATAGGTACATTTATCTTCCATATATACACATACTAATGGCAAGCAGAACAAACAGTGCAATTAAATACGTATTTGCTGAGATGTTAATTCCCCCAAACATGGTTGACACAAATATTTTGAAGTGTTATCATGAATAAAATGACAGAATGAATCTACTCAATAGGACTATATCCTATATAACTATATAGTATTATAATATAACTATATAACTATATTATTATTCTACATAATACCATTTTACTATGAATGTGCTATAAGATACAAATACGGAAGAATAATTTTTTTCCAGAATTGTTAACAGATATATTCTTACGATTAATGAAATGCCCCATCTCAAACTAACATTGGAAGATTATGCACAAAAACTACAAATAAAATATATAGGACGTTCTGCCTATTGTATGTCATGTTGTCCCCATATATTTCTAAGACTTTCTAAAGCAAAATGCCTCTCCAAATATTTGTTTCATTCACCTTTCTTTCTACTATAATTACACATATCATACTAATCTCCTATACCTAATGTTTTTTGTCTATTTATTTGATTTTCACACTACCTGACTAAGAAACATGCTAGAAATAAAATAACATATTATTCCAGCTATTTCACGGGGCTATCATTTTAAGGTGTTAATTTTCCAAATGTGACTTACAAAGCATTTAGCAATGCAACGATTTAAAATTACCTCTGTATTATAAAAATTGATGTCAGCAGATACAGATATGAAAATTATCCACTGACGCAGGCAGAAGGTTAGTATTATGTAGCATTTATTGTAATTTTCTTCAATAATAAATTGACTGACCAGAACAAACTATGAAACGGGATAAACTGGATCTAATTTCCAATCTCACAATATTTATGTAGCAGCTTATGGAATTTGAGAGCCACCACCTCAAAAGCTTGGGGAAAACGGTTCTAGTACTCATTTGTTTAGCAATGCACCATAGAACACTTACTGCCACGTGCCCATTTTCTTCACAAAGATATCGTTGAACATCATTCAGTGCTGCTAAGGCACACTTTCTTAAAAAGAAGAGACAACACTCTGGTTATACCCCTGACAAGACTTCTTAGTTATACACAGGGCTATTTCTAGCATTATTAAAAGACTGTGCACAAAACAAGACGCAGAGTTACATACAAAAGCACTTAAAAGGCACAGTTCAGAAATGCTGGAGCAACTTAGGTGTCTTCCTCCAGTTCACAGAATATGGACAATAAAATAATGATTACAGGAAGAAAACTTAAGACTGAGCCATGCATCTCTCAAGACAGCTATCCTACTTTCCCAACTTGGTAGAAACAACCAACAGCATCAACTGTTTTCTTAGTCGCTATCATCAACATTTCTTCATATCAAAACAGCAACATAATGACAAACTTACTTTCGGATTTTCAGGGCTTCTTTATTGTCTGGCAAGAAGAATTCAAAGGACTTGTATGTTTTTACCAAATCTCGACGGTACTGACCAACATTAAACTCTGTGTAGAAAAATCAAGGAGGAAAATTAAGTTTTTTATTTTCACCTATAATTTACATTTATAGGATAAGGTGTACCAAGATGCCTTATTTCTGCCATTAAATAAAGTGTAAGTTATCTCGAGTAGCCAAAAAAATTATTATACATTATCATCTTAAAAGTCTATGAAGATTCTCAGTCATCCAGATCATGGCTATCCCAAAGATGCTTTTTCAAGATCTGAAGAAGCTTCTTGGATGAGAAGCAAAACATCTTACAACAACAACCCTAACCAGATCACTTTAAATTATATCCTAAATATTGTTTACATCAAGGGTACTGCTTTTCTTTTCCAGTTCTTCTTAGATCCAATTTTTCCTGTGAAGCTTTTAGCTGACTCTTACAATGCCTTACAACTTAAATCTGTGATTAAGTCTACAAAACAAACCATCTTCGCTTCCTTTTCTATTTGCTTCCATTTTCCTTTCCTTTACCAACTTTTTAAACATTGGTAAAGCAGTATGCACAATAGTGACATTTTTACAAAAAAAAAAAAAACAGTAATAATACCTTTAACTAATAATATATATTTACCCTGGTTAACCAAACACCAACATCTACCTAACCTGAGTCCTTAGAAAGGACTTGATCGATTGATAAAAATGCCAAATTCAGTCTAAACATCTGGCTGACTATGTGATGAACCAATAAAAATCTTATTGTTACATTTTTTCTTTGTTTTATTTTATTATTATAAAACATACATTACATTTATTATTTCAATAGTGTGGACTAGAGATTATTAGCATTCTAAAGTTTAGATAACTGAGACCTTCAAAGATAGAAAAGTTACTGTATCAATATTAACTCATTTAAAATACCAATTTAATAAGCATAAGAGTTGCTTAATTGGAAAGGTAGGCTGCATATAAATGTAATAAATAAAAGTACATAAATAAATAAGGTTATTTAGCTTTTGCATCCAAAACTGAATATAACTTTAATAATCAAAGTATTTGGTGTAAAATAAATTTCTGTTTAAACTGATTACTTAATACTATCCACTGTGTTGTTAGAGAGAGGGGGGGGGAGGGAGAGAGAGAGAGAGAGAGAGAGAGAGAGAGAGAGAGAGAGAGAGAG